ATGGAAATGCAGAGACCCTTTCAATTACCTGTAAAACAGCTTTAGGCATGTAACTGACACAAGTTAAAGAAGAAAATGGTGTTTGGTGTCCATAGTTTAAATAGTGTTTTAATATTGTTATCATTCATTCAAATTTTTGAAGTACATCAAAATTACATATATTACTACAGCTAGAACTTAACTCAAACACAGGACAGGATTAAGCCAAAAACAAACTATTTTGTATTCATTAAAAAGCAATAAAAAGGGGGAAAAAAGAAAAATGCAACTAGAGGAACAAAGGAAACAATAGGAAAATAGTATATTATGTTATTTATAGGACATTATTCATTCTTATTTTTGAATACTTCATTAAGCCACCAGCCAAAATAATATTGATCAGTCTTCCCAAGAGCCAGTTCATAAATAGAAAGTGAACTCATCAGTCTTTCTAACACTGAAGAGTAATATTTTTACTGCTTCCATGCTTGATAACACCATCACTCTTCATATCCCAAGTTTGGGTCATATAATTCAGAAGTACATTCACATATATTAACTGTACTGAACTTTCTAACATCCTACTCACAAACTTATGGATACTAAACCAAAATGAGATAATAACGAGACAACAAAGGGCCCTTATCCATTCTATACCTCCAACGTGTTTTTAAATAGTCTATGGGTGTCCACTAAATGTGAAAAATGTGAAAAACAATATTTTGTCTCATTTTAAGTTGAATTTTTATAGTTAGATAGACTATGCACAAAATGTAGGATATAATTGTACATGTAAATAAGTAAATAGTTTAAGTTAAACTTACAGAGAAGCAAGAATTTTAAGCTGTAATAGTTATTTACAACTTTATATGCAATTTTTGAGTTTAGAAAACAATGTAGCAGCACAAAATGTAAAATCCTTGCTTGAAATAGAATACCTGTATTTTTTATTTTTTAAAAGCAACTTTCTACTATCTTGGTAAATAAGAGCTTTGAGAATGAGGGGACATATATTCTAATTATGTACATACTTTACTATTTACCTAGGAAGAATGCATCTTCCATAAACTAATATGCCATGCATCTTTTTTTGGTGGCAGGATCTGCATTTTTATATTGAAAAAAATCCAATGAAACATGTTATCACCAGGTGAGCAAAGCAAAAACAAACACATTGTTTGAGGGGCTGGAATATTTAGGGGTGTAAGTATATGGATCTACAAACCTTATTTTGCTGCCCCCCCCCAATGCCATTTTGCCATCAAATCTTGTTGACACAATCTGGAATGTTCTGAAGGCCAGTAGTTTTTCACTCCATAGTAGAACAGGTAAAGAAATCTACATAATTGTCCACAATTTAAAAAACAATCCCATTTGTACTTTTTTATTACCTAGCCTGAGCAAGTTAATTATTTTAAATTATCACACTGAACTGTGGGAGGAATCCAACATTGTACAAATGAAATATTTTTTTGCAATGGAACTTTCTCCTCTTTTTCTTCTTGCAAAACTGAGAGGAGAGCAGTTCCCCTTTATTCTGCAGACCCCCAAACCTCCAGTATAATTTGTGAAATTATAAGGGGAAGAAGAAGGGGAACTGCCCGCCTCCCTCTTCAGCTGTCAATAGCAGTTCTGTCAGCAGAAAGATTTCACCTGATTTTAGTCAATGTTTCTAAATTATCCTAGAATAAACTGATAGCGTGAACTACCCATAATGATGGAAAGCTACAACTTTTAAAAGATTCATTCTGTGTCATTCTATGTTATGCATAAGAAAGCACCATCTAATTCCTCAATGCAATCATATTATAAATTGAGGCAAATCAGTTACTGGAAACTATAGATAGGCAGCTAACCAAATTATAAGTAAAGAATGGCTCATCAGTCAGTTTCTCCTCACAGCAATGAGGAAAAAATAAAAATGTAATTCAGTAAATGTTGTGACACTGTTACAGAAGTATTAATGAGAGAAAATGAGATACAACATAAAAAGAGTATAGTGGAAGTGAATAATAACAGAAATAGAGTAAATGAGGGAAGTTACAGTTTATACCAAAATGCAGAAAGTCTATCTGAAATTTGAATTCCCCTCTCATTCCATATTACTACAAAATTACAAATCAGCAAACCCAGGAAATAGAGTAACAGGAGTGAAAAATTAGATAAATATCCATATTTCAAACAAAAAGGGGAACTAAATAGCAATGACTATACCACTTAAACAATTAGCATAGAAAAATAAAGACTGCTGTTAAACCACTCCAACTATCACATTTCTAAATGTAATATCCAATGCCATCAAATATCTAAAATAAAATTCTGCAGAATAAACAACACCATGTTAATGCAACTTTTAAAAATATTGTTTAATCATTACACTGGGCAATTTTAAATCACATATTATTGGGAGACTTAATTTAATTAGGCTCTTAGTATCAATATTAAGAGTGTGGAAGTTTTTCAGGAAATCTATCTACACTTTGGATTTTCTCCAAGACACCACACAGCTTCATAACTTGTATGATTAGCCTTAGGAAGGAAACTGGTAAACCATTTGGTAAACTATCACAACAAATCATTATAAAAGAAGTCCTGCAAAATCCAAACTTTTGCTATCTTACAACTTACCCAAAACTTTTTTCAAGTTCATTAACCTCTAGCATATTTGTTCTCCAAATACAGACTGTGAGAAGAGTGTTTTTTCCCCCATCTGCTCCTGGCCCATAATCTATATTTACACCATTTTTTTTAAAAAAAGAGCATGGTGTGATAATTTAAGAGCCATACTACAATTACCCAAATGAATCACCTATATTCATGTGCACATGTATATACTCACACACTAGGTATGTACACCCCACCTAATAAAACCATAAACTGAATGCTTTCTTTCATACTTTTAAATATGCTATCATATCATATGTAAGTTTTATGTACCTGACAACACTCAAATAAAAATTAGTTTATGCTTAACATTAAAATTCAACTGTTTTAAAAAATAATAAAATAATTGTGTTCAGCAGACCAGTCACGAAGAACAGAAGTCCAATTATTTTTTTTAAAAATATGTATTTTACATACTTTTTTGAATATTGAATTGCTTGTTTACCACATATATATTTTTTATAACCAGTTATGACTGATTTATGCATCATAAATCTTTTTTAAAAACTATGCACATACCTAACAATAATAAATAATTAGGAAAGTTGGGGCTATTTCCCACTTGTATCTATCAACATGGAATTGACAAACATTGAGCTATTCCCTAAAATAGCTATTATAAATAACCTTGTAAAATAATTGGGTGTGTGTAACTTTTACTGACTACAAATTATTCTAAGGTAACAGTAAAAACCCTACTTATTTGAAAGAATAGGGCAGAAAGAAATAGATAGTACATTTATTGTTATCACTCTTCACTTTTTGATTATTATATATTCATTTTTAATATGCCTCAAAGCTACGCACTTAATTTGTAACAACTGTGGATCAGCAGATGACAAAATGTAGCAGTGTGAAATTGAAACTTGTGTTAAGAACAGGATAAAGGGTACCTGAGAAAATGCAGTTGTTGCTCAGCTTTGCCCAGCAATTCTGTTAGTTTCAGACATTCATCTTTAGCTTTTGCAGTATCCTGCTGTGCTTGTTCTAAGCGCTGTTTGTTTTCATTAAGCAATACTTGTAATTTCTCAATTTGCTTTAAATACAAAGAGGAGTGCAGGAAATTCGGTTACAATAATTGAACATAATAAAGGAAGTTAGAAAAATCACAAATACCAGCACAAGTTTACATGACCGGATATTTATATTCTGGATAAAACAAAATTTGAGAAACAATCTTTATTATATTATGTTTATGTCATACTCTTCCTCAATTCTACAATCATAATATTAGTTATATTTCTCTAAACCATATTTAACAAATAAATGCAGAATGCTCCACTAGTCATTCAGATTGTAACACTGCAGCTACACCTAACTTTTACTTTTTACGGCAGAATATAATGAAGTAATATAAGATACTGTTTTATCTTTAGTTTGTGGCCACAAGATGTTAACTATTTCATTTTTTCTCTAGTTCTTCCCTGACACTCTAAGCTTGAAATATATTTTTAAAGAAATCTAATAGGCAGTTTTAAAAATGAATAGACAAAATTTGACAACTGTCACCTAGTGCCAAGACAATCTTGAAACTTCACAGTATAGGCGTAAATATAACCTCCTATAATTTTCTCAGAGGAAATAACTAAAGTGAACAGATGGGTTTTATACTATCCCTCAAGTTAAATCAACTCAGGTTATGTCAGTCCAACAATAAGTAAATTACAATATAAAGGGACTATGTTGAAAATGGTATTTCTACCTGCCAGATGTTTGAGTCCAGAATTTAAGGTAATATTCTATCTGTTAAACTTCACTGCATTCAAAAGTCAAACAGCTTCTTTAGAATTCTTATATTCCAAAGTAAAAAAATGTAAGACACCCCCCCCCACATTACTTTTACCTAGGTATAATGAAGAACTGTGGACTATATATTGAACACTACGCCTGACCATTGACTTCTTAGCTTCAACCATATTTGGTATTTTTTTTAAAAAAAGTTATTTTGCAATTATTAGCTCTTTATATAATTCACAGACATTTAAATACCTATTGTAAAACAAATGTTACTTGTTTCTTATATCACTTCTCAGCCTTTTGACAAAGATCATGTGTAAAAACAAGTGTTAGTAAATAGCACAAGAAAGCATTTTAGGACCTTAGCAAGCAGGACCAATGTGGACTTCATATCCCTGGATTTATTGTCACTGAAGCTATGCATAAGAATAGAATGAAAGCCAAGCTCTTTTATGTATTTAAGTGGAAAAAGTAATAGTTCAAATGCATTATTAACTAGACAATATTATCATTATGCATTGTCATCATGTTGATTATCTGTAATTATGTCTCTTTTAAATCAACAAAGCGTGATAAATTGAATAACAGTGTAGAAACATTAACATGTTGACCCAGACAGTATTATAAAAGGAGGGATGAGTCCCAGCATTAAAAAAAAGGTAACTTATTGGTGAACTATATAAAGTTCAAGGCATCCTGATTTTAAAATAAAATTCTTTTTCAATACCAGCTACATTACTTTCATCCAGAGACAGCCAAGGTCATTTTAATATCCAAATATTGTAAATCAAATATTTCGGCGGGGGGGCACTCCCATTTAAAACACTGACCTACTATAAACAGAATATCTATCTATCTATCTATCTATCTATCTGAAATAATAATAGCACAATATTGTCTGCTATAGTTATTATTAATCAGCATTTAGTAATTAGAAGTGTAGGCCAAAAAGTGGAAGAGAGAATTAAGGAAATTAATTGGTCATAGCTGGTCTAGTCTTTGTTCAAGTTAGAGGAGTTCTTTAAATATTTTTATTCTGCTTTGCTTTCAAGTTATTTTAAAATCTGCTACCGATTAATGCTACCCTTAAATTTAATTTTAACCTCCAGAAACAGATGGGGTTTACACCAGAATGTAAATCACTTAAGCCAAGGTTTCAAAAATGTATAAATGATTTATTTAAATAATTAGAAGTTATAAATGAGTTTATTCAAAATTTAAAATCATAAACCTATAGCCTTTATCAGTGCAGGGTTTTTTGTTTTTTGTTTTTGTTTTGGTCTTTCTCTCTTACACACAAATGCACATATAGAAAATTTAGTCATAAGTTCTAACAAAAGATATCCTGTGTTCTGCTCACCTCAAGACTACATAAGTGCTTGGGAACATAACAGTATCTTCCTGACCTTTTGAAATATGGATTACTGATAACTGATTTTAAAAAACCGAACTATTTAATCTTATAAAAGTAAAATATATTATTCTCAATGCACAATACCATATTTACTTACCATATAATAATTATTACACAGCTTTCAAAACTCTGATCTTCTTGACTAATAATATTAAGTAAGAAACCATTGGCTGTTGAGTCCAGGCATTGATCAGTGTCTCACTCTGGGAAGGATCTGGGCCGACTATTTTGAATGAGGCAGTCTAAGACTGTTTTTGAAGGTTTTCTGGATCAGAGGATTATGACAACTATAGTATATTTCCCTTTCTTATACAAGGAACTCAAGCCAGTGATTGTAACATAGTTGCAAATACTACGGCATATTATCTAAATTAATTTGAAACTAAATTTCAAGTCTAATTTTGGCAGACAGCTTCCTTAGTTGTCTTGATGGATAATCTGAGCCGGAATTTGCTAATTCAACCAGAACTTTCATTAGCTTTTTTTAGCTCTCCTTCTGGATAGACTGTCCAAGTTTGAAATCCGTGGTAGCATATTATAATAGTTTCATACTTAATAGATGACTTATTTCAAAAAGTAGTGCTAGGAGACTGTTACTTTGCTCCATATAATTTCTGTAACATGGTCTTTACAGGATTTTCCTTCATCCCTCATGTTCTACTACAGGTAGTCCTTGTTTAGCAATTGCCTCATTTAGCAACTGTTCACAGTTATGATTTGATGAAAAAGTAACTTTACAACCAATCCTCGTATTTATGACCTCTGCAGGTCTGTAAAGCAAAGGAAAGCTGAAGTAAGATCATAAGCACAATTGCGGTTTCACTTAGTGACCGATTCACTTAACAACTGAGTCGTCAGTCCCAATTGTAGTCGCTAAGAGAGGACTACCTTTACATATAAAAATAGCAAAGTGAATTAGGTATCATTAGTATGCAATTAAAATGAATTAGTAAGGACTGGATCAAAGTCAAACCACTGAAACTGAATTTAGTTAAGAAGAGTTATTTATGGATTCTTCATTCGTCAAAGTTTCTCATGAGCTATCTGCTCTGCATATGGATGTACTGATGTACTAATTTACATTTTTAGAATGCTCCATGATTTTTGTTAATGGAGAATTTTCTGACAGTTTCAGGTGTTACACAAAGACTCTCAATTAGCAAAGCCAACTAGCCTCAGTCATCTTGACTCTTTTAATCTCCAGATTAGATTACTATAATAAGTAGAATTTGCAGAAAAGTTGAAAACTAAAATTAGTAAAAGGTACAGTTCTAAAAGTGCTAAATGTATATTGCTCAGGCTAAAATAGTTTCTGGTCTATTTCTAGGTCTATTTCAAAATATTGGTGCTTTGTCTTAAAATCCTTAATGACTTGTGGCCAGAGAATACCCTTAATCAGAAGTCCTTGTTCACATGCTAAAGTGATCTATACACATTAAAACTGACTGAATTCGGCAATAACTCTCTTCAGTTCTCTAAATTAATTCAAGTCTCTCTGGAGAAAACTTTTCCAACTATCTGAAAACTCCTGAATCCTTTTTTTTGTATTATACGAAAAACCTATGATTCCATAATAAAAGGCTTGGAAACATTCACTTCTAAAACATCTTGATAAACTATCCAAGTAGTTCTTACAGTGTATATCAAAGAAAATTGTAAAAACAAATCCACCTTAGGCTTGAAGTGTACTGTATGCGTCAGATACATAGGGCTAAATCTGGTAATGCAACAGCCAGTGATTTCTAGAGAGACTAGAGAGAACCACCATTTAAACATACTGCAGCTGCCTCCCAAGGACATCAAGAGAACAGCCAAGTATCTGCTAACTTGGAAAGGCTGGAAGAAAAAGCTGAGAATTTAAACTCAGACTTATAGAAAACCAGACCAGAGTACAGATCTACATAAAAGCTACAGAAGGCAAATCATCTGTTGTATATAAGGCATCATTCATGTCTGCAATAAAAACTGTAATAGTCAAGTCTGTCTGCCAAATTAAGCCAATTGCAGAATATGGGATTAAGTGGCTAGAGTCCTGAGATTCATGGTTGTGTCCTGTTGTGAAGCCTGACAATATATACATATACATATGTATATACATATGTACATACATATACATACATACATATATATATACATGTACATATATGTCTGTCACTAAGGTTTCACAACAGGAAGCCTGACTACACACACACATACACACACACAAAATCAAGTCTGTACTTCATCTAATCATACCTGTTTCATGGATGTAGGCCAAAAAAATTCTAGTGGGCAAAAACCTTCACTAATTTGCTTAAATATTTTAGAGAACTAAGTATTGTTGAGGCACACATTTAGGAGTTTTGTAGGGCAAAAATACCATATAAAGGTTGCAGAGGAACCTGGAAGAAAGTATGTAACATTTGACGCATTTTAGTCTAGAAAGGAAGCAAATGAGAAGGGACGTGACTGAGGTGTACAAAAATATGCCTGGTGTGGATAAAGTGAACAAGGAGAAGCTATTTTTCCCTTCTCAAAATACTAGAACATTGTCTAATAAAATTGAATTCTGAAAGAATCAGGACAGACAAAAGGAAATACTTTTTTTTACACAATACGGAATTCAACTTTGGAACTTGCTACCATGAGATATGGTGCTGCTTGGCTGGCTTCAAAAAAGGGTTGGACCAATTCATGGAAGTTATGGGGCTCAATGGCTATTAGTCTTGAAGGAGACTAATGGGCTTCCTTGTGTGGTTGGTAGGTCACTGTGAGAACAGACTGCTGGACTAGATGGACCAGACATCCAATCCAGCAGAGCGCTGCTTATGTTCTTACGTAAAATAAGTAAAACTGCCAAACAGCTTTGGAATCAGACCAGGGACTAGTACAGCTACTCACTAAGAGATCCTATGAGCTCATCACAGAGTTATGGTTACAACTGATTTATTTAAACTGTAGACACCCAGAAAAGCTAACAGGCTCTCATGCTAATGCCTTTGGAAATTTCCTCAGAGTTTCTCAAGTTCTGACACAAAACCAAAGGCAGTTCTTAAATACAGTGGTACCTCTACTTATGAACTTAATCTGTTCCGTGACTCTGAT